TGGCACTCAAACACCCGAATCTACACTTTGAAAACTGACGCTCAGGGCGTCATCACCCCTGGCCCCAACCCCCCCCCCCCCCCCCCCACCCCACCACCAGCCATGGGCGCCGAGCAGTCCCTCCCTGCCGCCCCCACGGATGCGCGCGCCACGCTCGAGCGGTGGTTCAGCCCGTACCACGCGCTGCCGACGCCTCCGACGCCTCCCCCGACTGCCTCCGCGGATTCCTCTGCACTGTCTGACGCCCACACGTCACTGGACATCACGGCCTTCGAGCTGGACCCCACCCGCCCCGAAGACGACAAAGAGCCGCCGCCGCCCGCCGAGGATCCCGTCGACGCCGCCATGGCGCGCATCGTCCCCGCACCCGTCGCCGCCATGCTCCGCTCGCCAAACGTCTCCGGCGAGATGGCCTTCGCCGCCCAGGCCGCGCAGAAGATGGCACACGAGGGGAGCCGCGCACCCGTGTGAGCGCGCGCTGCCCGGTGATGTGCATGCCTGTGCCGCGGTTGGCAAGCTCGTTTTCGGGAGCCTGCCCGCTTTTTTAACCACCCACGCCCCCGGCCCGCGTTTATCGGCGCTGGGATTTTGCTCCCGCCAGTGCCCTCGTTGACGTTTTGTACATTTGTTTGTTGAGTAAACTCCCGCCTGTTTCCGAGCACGTTTATGTTCCGTCTCGCTCGTGCACGCCGCGCGTCAGTTCCGCGTGTACGAGAACCATCCCTTCATATCCCCATGTGATTTGAGACAGCTATCACCGCGCCCATCGTATCAAGTCTGTTGATAGCTGACACAAGTCCAAGGGGAAGGCACCTGGCTAACGCGTGTACTAGCTCGCCGCAATTCCATATCCATCCAGCAATTTGCGAGCTTTTACAATGATGCTGCACTACGGCATTTCTTCGCAAGTGGAGACATTCATCCCGCGCAAGACTCACGTTTCGTCTACTTCCCTTCCCTGAAGCGCGACCCAAGTAGCCTACGGTATGTCATGCGTCATGCGACAGCATATGCTACCCTCTCATACCGTTGACCGCGACTGGAATCATGTTTCTTTTACACTGTAGCTACAATAGTGGTTTCAACCTTTGCTGCGACTACTCTGTTGTTTCCCAATGCACGCACCACCATAATCACACAGTCTACCCATCGACGCACTCTTTCAAATCTACCGTAGTATAATCCTGCACGTTGCCAATATAGCTTGCCACTTCAGAGAACCCCGACTTACTCCCTACAAGCGCCTCTCCCTTAGCCAAGATGAGCAGCTCCAAAAACGCGTGAGCACATCTCTCGTCCTCCTCCCCTTTCTCTCTGCCGCAATTCGACGTATGTACAGCCGCGTTCTCCCCTCCGCCCATCACGCTAGCGCCCGGCATCAACCGCACAACCTGTTGCTCGAACATGTCAAAAAACGCTGGCGTGTCCGTCGCCAAATAGAACCTTTTCACCCGCTGCCGCTTCGCCGTGCTCACCGCCGCGATGGCCATGCACCGCGCCATGACCTCCTTATCGCCGAGGTCGAAGCGGCCGCGAGTTTCGCCCACACCCTCACCCAGCCGCGCGTGCACAGCGACGAACCGTCTGCGCGGCATGTCGAGGCCGGTCTGGCGCTTCTGGAGTGCCTGTAAGGACATTTCGGGGTCGAACATCGCCGCGAAGAGTCGCGTGAACAGGCGAGTGTCCGAGGGGAACATGTTAACATCGCGGAGAGCCTCAGACAACGGTAGGTGCGGGTAACGACGCATGAGCATGGGCACGAGATGCACGCGGCCGAGCGCGGAGTCAGATAGGACGATGGTGTCGACAGGGCCCAGGAAGGGCCCGAGTTGATGGGAGGGGCAGGCGCCGCGCGAAACGCAGTGGAAGACGGATCGGTTGCGGGGGGCGTCGTGGACGGGGTGGAAGCGGACTTTCGTCGCGGAGGAGGGGACGAGGTAGTCGAAGACGGAGAAGGGGTACTCCCAGTCGAGGAGGAGGACGCGGTGAGTGAAGGCTGCTGCGATGTAGGCAGTGAATAGGCCCCGGAAGCGGTCGCCCAGGCCGGGCTGCTTGTTTTTGAACATGTAGACGAGGCGGCGACCGGAGTGGCGGTGCTGGCGATGCCAGAAAGGGTAGCGCACGGAGAGGAGGTCGGTGACAGGGTCGCGGTCAGGCGGGAGGGGCGCGCGGTAGAGGGTTGTGAGGGCTTGGCTGGGGGGGTCGGTAGGGGGGTAGTAGAGCTGCGTGGGGCATAGCAGGCG